CTGCTGTATTTGTGGCCGGATGGAAGGGTTTCATCTTCTTTGTGTAGTTGAAATGTCAGCTCTGCCAACTAGATTTCTCTTCTGCTGTTACATTTGTTATTGCAATGGGGAAAAAAGCAGAAATTGGGCATATCCAGGCAATGTAAATCACACATTTCCACAGTCTGTCCTGACAATGATTGACTATTAAAATGTGGTTAGAAAGTCAGTTGTGCAGGCCTGGATTGGAACTGCAGAATTGCCACCGAGATCTCCTGAATGCATCAGTGTAGGTATTTGCTGCAGTTTCAGGCACGCAGTTAAGGAAGTCACTTCTTTTGGGTGCTGAAATCTTTGTCGACTCTCTTAACAACCCCATCTGGCTCTGTGCCTGCTGCCTTTTCCTGTAAGTCTGCAGGGTCTATCTGCCCTGGGGACAGAGGTCATGGAAGCCCTTGGGAAAGAGTGCGACTCCCTGCTGTCTAAAGGCAGAGATTGGCTTTGAACTGCATCTAGGTAACCCTGCAACTACTATGATCCGCATAGCTTCTCTGTGGTGCAGTCCTGTCTAGCTGCAGGGCCAGTTTTGCTGCATTTCACCTATTTGGTGACTGTGCACTATGAAGCAGAAAAGATTCATGCCTCAGCAGCTGATCAAGTTTAGCATACTCCACATTTTGATGCTTTTAAAAGGTTTTAATATAGGACTTCAGTTCTGTGAGGGGACAAAAAAGAGCTGAGGGCTTTTATTTCCCTTCATGAGGGAGGTGTTTTCAAATTTAATTGTGAGCCAAAATTCATCTGCCTGGTCAACTTTTCTGTTTAGTTGCATTATTCTGTTAATAAGGGCATATTTGAGCAGCTTTTCCAGCAGCTTTCTAGGAGGTAATACATTCATGCCATAGGAACTACTTCCATTTGTCGTCACCATTAGTTTGCAGACAGTGAAAGACAGATGCACACATATACGAGGCAACTGTAGAGGTAGGCAAACATTCCAGAAACACAGTTGTGATGTGTAGACCACAAAGACATGCAGCTTGGTTTTCCTCTGCTTAGTAACATTGGACATAAGAGGAAAAGCAGGTCTCAGGGAGGAGGAAACTGGGTTTCTTTATCTCAAGGGTATCTATATTGCTTGGAAAAAAAAATTCCAACAATCCATTATGCCTACTTCTTCTTGTTATGTATTTAAAAATATTCCACTCTGATTTTACACACAATTGCTTAGCACTTGCTTAATTTTAGTTATGACTCATGCCAATGATTCACAAAAAAAATGACACATTTGAATCTCCCCTTTCTTTTTGCAAGCATACCTTAAAGAAAAAGATAACAGCTGTCCCAGAACAGAGTGGGAACCTGCAGGGAGCATGGTAATCGTAGAGTCACTGCTCTTCATCATTATATATCAGCTTTGAAACTTCACTGAAATATCTGCATTTGCAATGAACTATTTTTCATTAAATGAATTCACAGTGTATCAGTGTCTGTGTGCAGATCAGTACAAGTGTTAATCTTCTCAGGTATCTGCAATGTAAGTCAGTCAGTACTGTTGATGGCATTTTTATTCTAACAAGTAAAATATGTACTTTTATTCTTTGAAGGCTTCCTTGAACAAGGCTTGCTAGTTCAGGATGAAAAGAAATTGCGAGATCACTATACCAAAACTTTGCAGTTCAAACTGGATGTGCTGTCTGTTGTGCCAACAGACGTGGCATATCTGAAGTTTGGTTTGAACTACCCTGAGCTGCGATTTAACCGCTTGCTGAGGATTTCTCGGCTGTTTGAGTTTTTTGACCGTACTGAAACCAGGACGAACTATCCCAATATGTTCCGTATTGGAAACCTTGTCTTATACATTCTTATCATCATCCACTGGAATGCGTGTATATACTTTGCAATTTCAAAGCTCATCGGATTTGGAACTGACTCTTGGGTCTACCCTAACGTGTCCATCCCAGAGTACGGGCGCCTGTCTAGAAAGTACATTTACAGTCTGTACTGGTCAACACTCACTCTGACAACCATCGGAGAAACACCTCCCCCGGTGAAAGATGAAGAGTATCTCTTTGTGGTCATTGACTTCCTGGTGGGTGTCCTGATCTTTGCTACCATTGTCGGTAACGTGGGCTCCATGATTTCCAACATGAATGCCTCCAGGGCAGAGTTCCAGGCCAAAGTGGATTCCATTAAGCAGTACATGCATTTCCGAAAAGTGACGAAGGATTTGGAAGCCAGAGTTATTAAGTGGTTCGATTACCTCTGGACCAACAAGAAAACAGTGGATGAGAAGGAAGTTCTCAAAAATCTGCCTGACAAGTTGAAGGCTGAAATCGCCATCAATGTCCATTTGGATACACTGAAGAAAGTGCGTATATTCCAGGATTGTGAAGCTGGACTTCTCATTGAGCTGGTGCTGAAACTGAAACCTACAGTCTTCAGTCCTGGGGACTACATTTGCAAAAAGGGAGATATTGGGAGAGAAATGTACATTATTAAAGAGGGAAAATTGGCTGTGGTGGCAGATGACGGCATAACCCAGTTTGTAGTCCTAAGTGATGGCAGCTACTTCGGTGAAATCAGCATCCTAAACATCAAAGGTAGCAAATCTGGCAACAGGAGGACAGCCAACATAAGGAGTATTGGTTATTCTGATTTGTTCTGCTTGTCTAAAGATGATTTAATGGAAGCCCTCACAGAATATCCAGAAGCCAAAAAGGCTCTGGAAGAGAAAGGGCGACAAATTCTGATGAAAGACAATTTAATAGATGAAGAAGCAGCAAAAGCAGGAGCTGACCCAAAAGACTTGGAAGAAAAAGTAGAAAAACTTGAAACAGCTCTGGATACACTGCAGACCAGGTTTGCGAGGCTCTTAGCAGAATACACCTCATCTCAGCAAAAGGTGAAGCAGAGACTGGCCAGAGTAGAAACCCGAGTGAAAAAATACGGTAGTGGCACCTTATCAGTTGGAGAAGCAGAGGGTGAAAAATCTGAAGAGGAGAAAAAGCAGTAATGGAGTATTTGTACTTCCTCATTTATTCAGTGGAGAAGGTTGAAGCCTGTGAAAGCCATAACTGTATGTAAATATGTGTGTGCATACACAGACCTGATTATTTTTATATGAACTCAAGAGAATGGGTTTTAGCATTTTTAACTAAAGCAGTATTTTCTTGTAAATAGAACAATGCCATTTTCTTAGGGGGACATTTGGTCTGGCATTTGGGTGCTTTTTTGTACTGGGAGTGGGTTTCTTACAAGTCATGCTCAGAATGTTTATTGTGTGTGGTGTGTGTAGGTCTTGACGCGTTGTCTCTTCCCATCTCTGTCGTGTTAAGCAGGCATTGTACTTAAAGCAAGGAGGGATTGGGTTTTGTTACAGACTTCAAAAATATTTAAAGGGTACATAAATAGCTGTACCTTGCTACCTTAATAGCTGATCAAATACATGGATGCTCACCTGGGCTTCTCAAAATCTTTGTCCTTTCACAACAAAGCATCTGCAGAAGTGGTTGGGCTACAGCTAAGCAGCAGCATGTACTTGGCCTGTGCACATGTATGAAACTCCTGTGCACACAGATGCTTTAGTCTGATTATTTCTAATGAGCTGGACTCTGCACAAAGGGCCACGCTGACAGAGTAAGCAGTGCTCATTCATGTCCTTTCTGGCATGGTCTGTGCTTTTCAGCACAGCCCTATGTCCACTGGTAGAATCCTTACATGGAAGGGGGTCCCCAAAAGCTCACTAGTGAGAGGCATCTGTAACAATATGGCTTCACTAAACCTGGGCGGAGAACAGAGGGCCCAGTTGTGTGCAGCTCCTGTATGGAGGGTCTTGAGTGAATTCTGTCTCAGCAAGTGGTTGGTCCCAGAGGGAGGCTGCTGAGAACCTGCATGGGCTGGCAGGACAGACTGTCCCTGCCTCCTGCCAGCTTTCTCCCCCAGGGGGGTTTCTGTGAACAGGGAGAACAAACCCTGTGTTCCAAAGTCATTCTTGCCTCTAGGCCTATGTGTTCTTCCTCTTTATTTTATTTAAGGATGCCTATTCCAGCTCCCTTCACTACTTACTGCCAGCTTTACTCTGAACTGCCGTGTTTCTGTTAGGGAGAACCAAGGCCACATTTGCTGACAGGAGGCTGGTTGTGCTGGTTGCGCTGGTTGCTTTTCTGCTCACTGCAGAGCAGCCAGCAGTCTGGATCTGAGATGAATACACAGGTCCAGTCCACTCAGCCTGCTGTGACATGCAGGGCAGAACAGTACTGAGGTTTCTTGCTCTATCACATTGCAACTTCAGGATTTACCTCTTACGCACCCCTCTTAGCCTCTCCTACCTTGCTGCTTCCAGTTTCTTTCCAGGCTTCTCTCCCTCCCACCGAGAGGATTTCTCTCAATACTCTCCCCCTGGGAAGATACTGTCATTTTTCTGTGCAGTATTTTTCTGCCGTGTAGCTTTCTCTGTGTTACTTTTATCCTGTGGTACCTCACTGACCTGAGATGTATGGAGTAGCAGAGGCTGTTCAGCATCTATGCCATGGGGGCTGGGTCCTCCAGCACCATTAGGTATTACTTAATTCTTCCCTGTGAGGCTGGTGAGGCACTGGCACAGGTTGCCCAGAGAAGCTGTGGCTGCCCCATCCCTGGCAGTGTTCAAGGCCAGGTTGAACAGGGCTTTGAGCAACCTGGTCTAGTGGCAGGTGTCTCTGTCCATGGCAGGGGGTTGGAACTGGATGAACTTTGAGGTCCCTTCCAACCCAAACCATTCTATGGTTCTGTGATTACCATGGGCAGCGCTCTGCCTTTTAGTTGTCATCAGCCTTGGTTTAGGAGCCCTAACAGCAAATGGGAATAGGTGGTCTGTTAGAAAACTAGTAAGAAACCCACAGAGAAGAGGGTGGATTATGCAGGTGATATCCTGCTGTATTCCAGGCTCTCTTGCCCAACAGCCATTTGGAAAGCCATGTTACATTTTGTGCAGATGTTCATTAGGCTGAACAATGAAATAAACAGAGACCATTGCTCTGGTGAGTACAGGTGCTCAAAGTAGGCACTTGTCTCTGGGCAAGCAGCTGTCCCCCTCCTGTTGATACTTTTGGGCCTGGTGAGAGACAAATCTGACAGTGACTAAGGAACAGGGCTTTACCAGGACACTGCCAATGGAACCACCAGGTAGTAGATGTCCACACACAGGCCATGTCTAAACTCTTATCATCAGCCTAGAAGCCAGCTAGACTTAGGGATCTACTGTAGGCTGGGCTTAACCTCTGTTACCAAAGTTTCCACTGATTGCAACAAGTGCTTTGGAAAGTAGCTGAGACCTACCTCTGGCCAGTGGAGTTCGGAAGTCCTTCAGCTGAATCTTGTCCTTATTTTCACCATGGCGGCGTGGTTCTGAGTTACTGGCTGGGCTTAAACCACGACACAGGGGCTTGAGACAATTAGGGGACGTAAGAGAGGTGCTTTTGGCAGGGGTCTGAGCACCTTCGTCACCCCACACTGAGGAAGGCAGGGTTGAAAGTGGGGCTGGGTTGGTACTGTAAGCACAGATAGTCACAGGCTGCTGAACTTGAAGCCTTCCCCTTGTAACAGGCAGGTACCACATGCACCTGTAGCTGATGTTCACTGTCGTGTTACTCAAATGCCATGTCTGGTAGGGTTTCATACTCACTGTCATGTTCTACATCAGTCATTGTTCTCTGTAAATATCTAAATACCTACCCAACATCCTACAGCTGTTCCATCCTGCTAGGAATATACAGATAGAACTGTTTAAAGTATTACTTATACCAAATTTTTACCTGTTAAGACCCCCCCCCAAACACAAGAATGCTTTGTCATCTGATGGATCAGAACAGCTTAATCTATCCATTAAATATGTGTTTGCTCTTCCCTTTTCTGTACTTGTTTGGTTTTCACATGCCAGAAAAAGAGCTATTTTGATGTTATTGGCTTCAGTCATTTGGAAACGTACAGCTTCTGGCATGATGAAATTGCATCCTTTGACATCTATCATCTCTGTAAGATGCTTTTTCCGCTTAATGTGGCAGCATGTACATTAAAATATTCTGAGTAACATTCAAGCAACTCTGTGGTTTCTCTTACCCATATCCCTCTAGCTTTTAGCATTTCATGACAGACTTTCATTGTGCCACTATCACATTGCCCAGAAAGCTTTAGCTGAACAGAGATCTGAAGTGACAGAAAACCAAGTGGGAATGGCGCTGGTCTCCCCTCAGCATGGGGCAGCTGGCACAACACGGCTTTGGTCCCATGCCCGGTTTTGACACCATCACTGTGTTTGCAGATACAACACAGACACAAGAGCCTTGACCCCCCACCCCGCTTCCACAGTGGCGCCAAGCCTTGTGGGTGGCAGAGCCACCTGGCTCCTGCCTTCCCTTTCCCCATGCAGGGTGACACAGCAGGGATGGCACCTTGTCCGGCAGAAATAAATGTGTTGGCAGCACTCTGCTACTTGCACACACACGTGTCACCTACCAGAAAACAGAATGGTTTGGGTTGGAAGGACCTTAAAGCTCATCTGGTTCCAACCCCCTGCCACGGGCAGGGACACCTTCCACTAGACCAGGGCCTTGGGCAGTACCTGGCATGGGCTTGCCTGGTCTTTCAACCCACCATAAGAGAAAGCCAGGAAGGAGACAGCTCTTAGAAAGCATTTGAACACATGCCCTGAATTTGCAGACAGGGGTTTCACAGGCACAGCATCCACTTCACACAGGTACGGGAGCCAGCCTGTGCCAAAAGGGTGGCCATGGGGTGGGAGTCTTGGTCCAGACTGCCTGTGCTGAGTGAAACACCTGATGGGGAAGGCCAGAGGTGCTTGAACATCTGCTGCAGGTGCAAAAGGAGGGCAAAGCTGGTGAAGCAGCACCACTGTGTTCCATGTGCTGCTTGGAGCAAGCATTTCCAGGGAAGAAGTTCTTAATTGCATGGCTGCCCCATCCCTGGCAGTGTTCAAAGCCAGGTTGGATGGGGCTTTGAGCAACCTGGTCTAGTGGAAGGTGTCCCTGTCCATGGCAGCGGGATTAGAATCAGATGATCTTTAAGGTCCCTTCCAACCCAAAGCATTCTAGGATGCTATAAGGGCCTTGAGGTATAAGCCCTGCTCCCTAACAGCAAACAATTCAAGCCGTGCTGCTCTGCAGAGTGCTCTCCATAGCACCCCATCCTTTTTCCCTTGTTCCCTACTATTATTTTACTTTAACAGATTTTACAGTAGAAAGCTCAGCTCTGGAAAATTCAATGAGCTGGACAACAGAAATGGTGGTGACAGCAAAACATCACATGCCTTTGTACAGACTCCCATACATAGAGGCAAGGGTTGGGGTTAGCTTAACTCTGCAGCTCATTCTGCAGAAAGAGCCCAGGATTTATTTATTTTCCCTTAAGGCATCCGCTTTACAGTTTTATTCCTGCCAAATGTTTACAACCAGACAGGGCTCTGCTTTACATTAAGGAACAAACTGGTCATTTTCCTTTCCCTCATGAAAGCATTAGTGCTTTCTGCTTTAGTGCTTTCTCCAAGACTGTCTGTAGGTTGTTGCTTTGAAAGACATGTTCCTGTATCACTGCTGACAGCAAGGATGAGAGAGTTGCACAGGCCAAACCTAGTCCAGGTTGTCCAACAGGATAATACAATCAGGCTGACTAAGGAAGAGCTGTTCTTCATCCTGAAGACTGCGGGATGACAGCGTTTTACTTGGCTTCAAAGTCCTGCAGCGCTTCCACTGACGTTTCCATCCTGGAACACACAGGAAGAATTAAACTGTTGTTTACACAGTTTCAGAAAAACCCTTTACCTATCCCTGAGAGCAAAATGAATTATGCAGTAAATGGAGCTGGCAAGTCAACAGGCAGCTGACACACAAGATTCCAGCTGTGGCACCTTTCTTTGGGGAAGCCATCAATCTGGGAACATCCCTCTCCCTGCAGCCCCAGACACAGCCCAGAGCTCAAGAAGGATGCTCCTTTACAGGGAGGATGGGAAGCCCAGCTCCCTTCCGCTCGGCCTTGGGCAGATGGGGAAGGACACACATGCAAGACCTGAGAAGCAACCTCTGGGGCTAAAACCGGTCAGGCGCTTTGTTTCTGAAATTCAGATTTTGCAGCCGTTTGCAGCTCACAAGTGAACGCCCCTCACAGCTTCACTCTGGAGAACACAGTTCTGCTGCTCTGTGTTTGCAGCCCAACCCCACTGCGCACCGGGCAGGGTGAGAAACGAAGGGAAGACCCACATTATTTAAGCAAAAGCGGTTTCTGCAGCCTCAGGAGCAGTACATGGGGTGGCCTCAGCTCCAAGGATGAGCACAAACATCAGCTTTAGTCCAGAAGCAGCAGCAGTTCTCACAAAGAGATCATCTTCACCAGCTCTACCGTTACTGCTTGGCTTCTGCTGGGAGAGCAAAGGGTACAGTGCCAGTGGCCACAGCTCCCATGCCATCCCTTGCCATGTTCTCCCAAGAGGCAAAGGACAACATGGTCCAGCTCTGACAGGGACCTGTCTTACCTGTAAGCTGGGGGTAGGTTACTAAAACCAGAAGTGCAGAAAGGAATCTAGTAATGGTTACGGTTCTATTTTTCTTTCCTTAACAATTACAGTGGCAGGTATCAACCTTTCTGTAACAGGGCAACTGAAGAACAGTAACATGGAAACCCAGGAAAGGACTACTGCATTACAGACCGATGGACACCTTGAGTAATAGCTCATGATTTATCAGCTTTTCAGCTGTTTTGACATATCATTTCTTTAGTCTCCTGACAAGAGAAAACAACAAAACACAATACCCCCAACATCCCCCCAAAACCTAACACCCCTCTCCCCCCCCCCCCTTCTGTTCTTACTGCCAACAGCTGTTTCCCACATCACACTGGAAGGGGTCATCCCACAGCAGGCACTGCACCCAAGCAACCCCTGCAGGTGGGTATCACAGTGAGAACAGTGGGCACTGCCTGCCTTCCCAGAGCAGCAGCTGAAATAGATTTGAAGGAGTGCTGGTTTTGGCTCAGCTCACCTCCAAGGCTGAGGAATCGAAGGGACCTTGCTGCAAAAATCTGTGTTTTTTAGGAGAATCAATGCCAGTTGCATGCTGCAGTACATACACGTCACCTGCAGAGCTACAGTGCAGGCAATTCATGCAAGCAGCTTCCGTGGGATTCCTGCTATCTTCAATATCTAGTTACATTTAGGCTGTTTAAAGCAAGCCTCAGGGCTGCTTGTTCACAGGTACTTGGCAGAAGGAAGCATCTTAGCAGCGACTTTGGGCACGCTGTCGTGAAGGAAATGATCCAGAGGTGAGTTTAACTGGATTCCGACTATTGAACCGCAATGCCTCATCTCCCTGTAATAGCACCACTGCCTCTGACCATGCTTGCATGAAGGCTGGTAAAAAGCTCAGGTATAGCCACAAAAAGCTGCAGAGCTTTCCTAGGGAAGCACCACACCTTTCCAAACACATCACTTGCTGCCACAGCTCGTTTGTCCCATCAGCCACAGCCGGGATTCTCCATGCATGGTTCAGACTGGGCAGATTGACAGAGGAGCTGCTCCAAGCAAAACACCTTCACTTCAGGGTTTCAATTGCTTTGAAAGGCTTTCACCTGCCATAACCTAACTGCACCAGCTGCAAGCAGTGGCTCCAAAGGAGCATGAGCACAATGAGGAAGGAGTGAGAAAGGAGCCATGCAGCACCTCAGGGCAGCCAGAGGCAGTTCAAATCTGAAGCCAAGAGCAGGGGTGACAAACCCATCCCAGGCAAAGGAGAAGCACCATGCAACTCAGCTCGCTGCCTGGGGAAGAGCAGCTGTTACAGAAGAGATGCAGAGACCTGGAGAAAGCAGACAGGGAAGTCCCTGTCTATGGACCAGGCAACCGATTCACATTCTGGTGGCCAGCAGAGGCCGTGCCAGACTGATGGGCAACAGCGATGTCTCCAGTGGAGCATGGTCCTTGCTCAGCCATCTCCAGTGCTACGGGCAGGAGCAGCAGTGGGCAGCACAGCAGTTAGCTGCTCTGTGGGTTTCAGTCCAAGAGGGCTCCATCCTCACTTGTGCAGGGGAGAAAAAATGGCAGAAGGAACTCAGAAGGTGATGGGACCAAGTGGTGCTGCCGCTGGCCACTGGGAGAGTCCAGAGGCTGCAACCACTCTTGGGACATGCCTAGAGAAGTGTGAAAACAGCAGCATATGGCTGCTGGAAGCTCCCACCTTGCAGATGCTGCTGACACAGCTCAGTTTTACCACCTGCAGCCCTGCAGCAGTGGCTGAGGCTCAGGGGCAAATCCCTGTTGCTTCTGCAGCTCCAGCGTCAATCTTTGCAGCTGCTGGTCTGTAGTAGGATACAGCAGCTGTGTGCTGGCTCCAAGCCACCCACTGTCCCTTCGAGAGAAGCCAAGAGCACAGAAGACAGAAGGGACTAAAACCATCCTACTGGTGGTAACAGCAGTAGCGTGTGGTCCCAGAAACAGAGTCCCAAACCCAGGAAGCCTTTCAAAGCCAGCAAGGAACAGGCTTGGATGAGTCCAACTGCTTGGCCAAAAAGCTGCAGGTTTGGAAGAGGTTTGCCCCTGAGAGGCCCAAGCACTGCCACTGGGAATGATCTCCAGCCCAAGAGTGCTCGCACCTGGGCTGGCTGATGGCCACTGAGCTGGAGCCTGGCAAGGGCAGAGCCCAGTGGCTGCAGCCCTGCTTCAAGGCAGCTGACAGCAATTTTGTAAGAAATTATATCCGTTGGGGATTTTAGTTTGGGAATGTGAGACCCTCCCTGGAGAGATTCAAGCTGAAAAACCCTGGCCCAAGAGCAGCCCTTATCAGATGCTTGTAAAGAAGACTGTGCTGTGTTTTGAGAATAAGATATCCCTGTTGGTGAAGCCAAAATGTCACCTGCTTTATGTTAGGTGACTTGCTACAAAGTGCAAGGATTCTTCATGTGCAGATGACCATTAAAAACTTAAATAATAAAACAAAATCAGTGTACACAGCACAAGGGATGTTATTCATCTGAAAACATCTATGGAACATTCTAGTGTGGAGCTTCCCATTTTTATTAACATCAATTATTTTACGAAATAATGAAACCCCTTTAACTGCCATCATAAGAGCTCACCTGACCTTTGCACCTTGCTGCTCAAACACTGAATGTCTGCAACAGGAAATAACTAAATCAAGCCTAGCAGCACATAAGGTATGGCATCTCAAAACATAGAACAGAAACCTTCAACTTGTTGCCATGGATGAACAGTTACTCGTGAGCGCTGCTGCTCACACTGTGGTACTACATGGGTCTGGAAGCAAAAGGTTGCAGTGGGAAAACAGATTTAAGGGATTTTCTCTGTAGGTGACCCCCCTGGCACAGCAGAAATGCACACCTGAGCTTTCACTGACATTAAGCAGAAAGGCCTCACGTCAGCTTTGCACATGACAACAGTTCAGACACAAATCAAGCTGCTGGGTTTTATCTTCACCTGACATTGCTCAGTTCTAGTTGTCAGCCAAGCCCGTATGAGCCATAGCATCCCTGCACAAGTAGCTATTTGTAGTTTAGCTGTGCTGCGGGTCCTCCCAAAGGCAGAAGCCAACTCCAGTGATCACTGACTTTCAGTCAGCTCTGCTTTTGTTTTTAAGCCTCAAAACTATGCACAAACCTACCCAGGAAGGTAACGTAGCAGTTCCTAAGGCTATTATCCTAAAACAGAGTAACTATTCCTGCCCTCTACCTGCATCTCCAGTGTCCTTGTCTCTTAAGAAATTTTCACACACAAAACCCCTGAAGCAGGATATATATCGAGCACAGAAATCCATAAACACAAGTGTAGCAGGCTGGCTTCAGTTATTTGTCAGGACCACTGAGTGTATCCTACAAATACTGCAGAACAGAACAAACCCATGCTGCTGTTATCTCAACACAGCACCCTCTGCAATTAAAACCACCTTCCCACATTCCTTGTCTTCCCAAGATCCTTTACAAGATTCCTTTCAGTTAAGGAAATAAAACCGAGCACATCTCTGCTTCCTTCATCTTCCCTAGCCATTGTCAATCAGGATGTTTTCCAACTGCTTCTCTTCCCATCTACTTAATTTTTCTGCTGCCCCATCCCCTCCTCTCCCATCTCATCCCTCCACTTGCTCCCCCACCAGCCAACACAAGTGACTCCACCAGCCAAGCCCAGCTCCCACCCCATACACCAGCCACTGCAAAAGAGGGACTGATGTTTCATACAGTACAGTTCAGAGGAATAGGAATTTGCATCCAAGCGAAATACATTTCTCTGAGAAAAATAAAATTAAAAAAAATGGATTGTGTCATATGAGACAATGCTGAGATGCCCCAAACATTTTCTTGTTAACAAATTAAGGACCCCCTGAAAAGAGAACACCAGCACACTGGCATCACAGTGCTACCTTGGATGAGAAGCCTTATGTCTCTCTCACCTGAAAGAGGTATTTCAGTGACACAGAAGTACACCTACATTTCCAAGGTCAGCTTTGTAGACCTAAAGTTTGCTAAATGCTGCTGAAAGACTACGAGAGACTACAAGAGAGTTAAAGACATTCCAGGTGTGCCTGAAGAAAAAAAGAACTTAAAATGGCATTTTCCCCAGTATGACAAACATTCCAAGCAGCAGAGGACTGACTGGAACTTCTGCAGGGCAGGAGAGCAGCGTGCAGCTACAAGACTTCAAGATTTATTTACTTTAAACCTTATCAGCTGCTGCAGCTGGACAAGCACACCTGTACCACCACTAAGGACATAAGGTTTTGATACCATGCCATTTTGGGGGTGGCAGTATGTATTTAAACAGGAAACCTGTCAATATGAAGTGCTTATATCTTACCTGAAAATGATTCCTTGAAAAACAGCTTATACTTTTAAAGGCCAATACAATTACGTATTATTTTAATCTTAATGCTAAAGGAAGAGAAAAAACATATTCACAATGCCAACACCTCGGTTGGAAAACTTTGTATTGCTATCCAGTGATGCTGTCTGCCCTGGTTTTGGGTCCGTTTAAAAAAACAACGTGAATTTTACCCACTTGTTAGCTGGGTATAACCACCATCCACAGCTATATCAGAATAAGACAAGTTACAGGGACACAGCTCAACAGCATTAGACTATTGATGTAGTACATACCACACAGCAGTATCATGATGGGGTTCATACTTGTCACAAAACACCTCAAGCCACTTGGCAAATCTTGTTTTTGCCACTTACAGTAAAAGATGCCCCAAACCTGGAGGAATCTGCCGGCACTGTTGTCAGCTTCCCTACCCAGAGGCTGGTATATCTTGTTTTCCTCTCAAAAGACATGAAATAAGGTGAACATCCAGAACAGCTTGCCCTACCTGCCACCTCCAGCTCAAACACCAGAAGACAGCCAGCACCAATCCTTCTCCAGCGAGGTTCAGTCCCTGTGTCCAGGTTGTCTTGGATTTGAGAGGGGAACATCACTGGACCCCACATCACTACAGTTCACCTCTGGAGAGATTTCCGCACCTGTAACCCTCAACTTATGCTGTACTACAACGTTTTCTAATCAAATAATGTAATATCCAATTCATCAAAGTAAGGAAGTCACTTGTTTTCTTTTTCACTGAACCGTGGTGAAAAAGGTCACTGTTTTATTCAGCATCAGTCACATAACAGTTGTCTGTTTCTATTACTAGAAAGAATTTATTAAAATAGTCCTGAAAGACAGCTTTTCTTTCTCCAATGATTTCAAAACTATGCCTTTTAATGCCAATTCCACACAGTCACGGGATTGATCGGTAGTAGTCAGTTATAAGCAATCGTCAAGGCACAAGCTCAGCTCTGCACATCCGCTGCAGCTTGTATTGGAAAAAAGAGATATGCCAGTTACATCCTCACTTAAAAATGCATAATCCCTTTGTCATACACTGCAACAGGAGAAATTAACATTAAACACAGACTACGAAAGGTAAAGGATTTATTTCTGATATGATTTGTAGAGTTAAATTAAAAACCTACTGAATACTTTATGTAATAGATGAACATAACCTTAGTACTTACTTTCTAACAGTTTAATTAATGGTTGGAAGTGTACAACATGAAGTAGGCCTTACGTTTAATATTGTTCAATTTTGCTTATTGTTAGATGAGATTAAAATACAGTAGCCATCCCTTTAGATTATGTTGCAACACTGATCATGTGCCTTGATAAGTAGGAACAATAAGTCATTAAATAAACGGTGATGACATAACATGTAGGGAAGACTTTGGATTGTCTATTTAAAATGTCAACGTAATAGGCAATTAAGAATAAAACTTCATTTTAAGTGCACTTCCACATGCTTTGTTTATAATAAAGCAAAAACTTCCTATCTTTTTTCCAAACACTTCACTCCCTACTCTAAAGCTGTTCAGTTGAAAATGCACTTTCCCCAGTAAACATCTTTTTAAAAAAAGTAACTAAAATTTCTACCCTTTCTTATGCTAAGAAATGTTTCCTAATTAAAAACACAGTTTATTACAAGACATGTGTAGGCAACATATAGTGAAATGAGATTTAATTGTTGTGCTGTGACTAAAGTAAAGTTCTCAAGGCTGCAATTTAACATTCCAAGTTCTCCCTTCCGTCTTTATTGATTCTTAAGATTTTGCACAGAAACTCTTTGGGGGCTAGAACAGCAGTAATTGCATCACACTGTTTTCCAAGACTTCAAGTTTCAAAAGCAAACTCTTCAAAAAGTACAGTTCTTGATTTGATTAGATACAGGGACAAAAATATAGCACATACTTGAAGGTTACATGGTCTACAAATGATGGCAATATTTTCCTTGGGAGAGTACAGTTTGTTTTCTTGTAAATACTCAAAAAGGCTCAACTTCAAGCAGTAATAAACACAAGCAAAAGTGATTTAACCCTTAAAATAAATATTCAGGAAAACCTCTCTGTACATACAAGTGAAAGAATATGTAACACTTTCACGCTAAAAGAAAAAATAAAGATTTTGTTCATATAAGCAGCTGAAATCTGCTGTTCCAGCCCAATGTCCCCAGTAAAGAAGGGAGGCACAAACACAGGTGACTACTGTAGCTCACTATCTTATGGCCTTTTTAGACAGGGACATCATCACCATCATTTTTTAATCCCTTTTGTTATATATTTTTTTCTATTTTGTTATATTCATTACAGCATGCCAAATCCTTTGGCATATGTGATGGCCTTCAATAATCTCTCCTTAAGCTTTTCTTTGCTTGAGTACTCCGGAAGCAAAAGTACATTAAAGCATGTGTGAGATGTAGGTAACCTGTGGGGAAAACAAAGGGAAAGAGAAAAACAAGAATTCAGATCTGGGAACATGCAGTACCTGCAAAGAAACACATTGCTCTTTCACAGATCCAAAATAATGAATTTAAAGAGAATCCACTTTGCTTAGATGCAACTGTCCAGATTTAACAAAGTTAACTTAAAAGCAAGAATTTGCTTCCATTTATAAACAAACAAGAAAAATGTAGACTTTTTTTCTTTTACCTCTCTGTATCTGGGCCATTTTTGGCTATGATCATCTTTAACTTTCCAAGTCCTCCCACAGGGGCTCTGTCTGTGCCTGTTGTAAACTGTAAGAATAGCCTTTTCTGTTCGTCTGTAAATGAATGGACAATTTCCCAGAATTCCCTATGAAGGAAGAAATCAAGAAGTGAACTGAAACCTGGTATAAATGAGACTCTTGGAAGTAACTGAACTTTGAATGTTTAGTTATCCTTATCAACCCTAACAGCAAGTTTACAAGTTGCATTCATAAACCAAACCAGTAACTTCTTTACCAATCGAATGAGATTCAGAAGTAGAAATTAGAATTAGTACCAAAACACTGCAATTTAACTGTTTTTAAATGTTAATTTGGCTGATAAATGAAGAATATTTTCAGATCACTTAATTTAGGATTCCCATTTCCTAAGGAATTATACTGGTTCCACTACAATGGCCATTTCTACTACCATCTTAAACACTACAGTAAGCAAACAGCTGCTGTCAAGGTTTTCTACCCTAGCAGGAATTAGTTAAGTAGTTGGCAAAGTCTAGAGCACTCAAGATGCACACTTCCCTAATGCTTGTCTTCAGAATTCTCTAGTCCAAGGGGACACAAAAGTAGAAACATCAAAACCACTGAATTTACTTGATTTCTAATTAGAGCAGAATGGTTTACACATGCAACCTATCCAAACAGTTCAGTGTGATTTCTTTTCTTTTAAAAACAGCAGCAAAGCAATGGTTATTTATTGAAACAGCCCTGTTTATACTGGGGATTATATAACTGTATGGTATGAAAGACAAAAACCCAGGGAAAAATCCCTCTTAATTTTTACCAAAGTTCACTAGAAGCTAAAGACAGTACACTTACAACTATGTGCTCTTTCCTAATGACGGTACTTGAGTAAAGCGGAATTATGCATAAGACACTTGAATCTCCAGCACTACAAAAATACTCCATGTTACAATACTGTGAAGAAACAGCTATGTCAAGTGCTTTTTATCTTTCAGACATCAGAAAAAAAATAATTTACCTAATAATAAGAGAGTCTCTGGTATAGCCACCATCATATTCTGTAGTTTCTTCTAGTGCTTGAAAATCTAAATTCTGTAAGAAGATGACATTTTTTAAAATGACCACTAGTTAGGTACTTAGCATCAAAAAAGCTCCACTTTCTGGTGTACATTCAGAATTCTTACCCTACTTCCACATATAAGTAATTCAATTTCCTCTGGTCTAAATAAATATTTCAAAGGAGATTCATTGGTCACCATGTGGAATCCTCTCCGAAAGGCCTTGAACTGCTTTTCTACTGATTTATTGAGGATATAGTCAGCATACAGATTGACAAATTCCTGTAAGGAAACAATCCCCCAAAAAACCTTAGTACTTTGACACATGCCACTCAACGTATCTCCAAAAAAATGTAAGACCCCGAAATACACGTAATTCTATGTAGATTACCTGGGTTCAGCTTCTACTCAGCAATAATACAGAACACGTCTCACATATTTCTCAGACAGGTCAAACACCACATCCAGAAGCTACAGATGCATACATCGATGCTTTCTTTAAAAGATAAGCCTTTCCTGCTTACAACTATACTGTGCTATAGCAATTAAAAAAGGCTTTTAAGCTTAAGTCAGGAATGAGACCAAACCTCTGCAGTGCTACACAATTCTGCATACAGTATCTAAAAATTACAGATTACATTAAAAATCATTTGAGTGTACCTTTCTATTTTCATTTGTAATAGGAATTTTATCACCGTTTTCCTTTAAATCATGCATCATTGGATTGCCAAAGAGATCCGTGTGAGATATTTGAAACGTTATCATCATATCATCTTCCACACTTCCTTCATACTCTAGCAAGTCTCTCAAACTCTGGTAAAGAACCTAGAGAAAAAAAACAAGACAATAAATGTCTGTCATAAGCAGATTTCAGGATTTCACTGAGTAATACCAAAAGGCATAAAATCATCTGCTCAAAAAGGGTTATTGCATTCTATATAACACAAGTCCCCTAAGATCTCCCATGACAGTCCAAACAAAGGTATGTTAACCTCCGTGTCTGAAAGAACCAATAGCAGATATTAAGGAAAGATAAAAAAGAAACATGGCAATGAATGATAAATCCCTTAGAAGAGCCTACCAGTACACAGGAATATTCCTAAATGCAATGGTCAAACCTGTAGCTTAAGAGTCACTGACTACCTCTTTACCATTAAACTCTCTTGAAATTGTATTTATTTTTGGCATCCAGAACACGTTACGCTAGTAGGTTGAACGTACACACATTAAAATCAAAAGAAAATGCTGTATCTTATATCAGCTAAACTCCAGGCAGCAAGCTTCTGTCTTCTACATCTTGAGTTAAACCCCAAACGAACTAGGAAGCAATCTTGAAGCGACAGACGGGCAGTTATTAAGGTAAGAAAACATTTATGCACAAATAAAAAAAAATAATAACTAAAATCACAAGTTAAGTCAGAATTTGCCAAGTGGAATCTGAAATTAACTGCAAGAGCCTGCTCTATTCAAAGGAGTGACCAGCCTTCCTCCATGCTATGCCTCAAGAAAAGCTCAAGACTCTTTCGGAAACCAAAGGCTATGCACAAAGGGAACAATTATTTGTCTGAGGCAGAGGTGTAGGACTCAAGAATGCAAAACAAAGGAAAAGCAACAACTGAGTGCAACTGTATTTTTTATAGTGAAGTAGAAATAATAAATTCCTCCTAAATGTTTCAATTATTAAAAGAGTTTACATGTAAGCCTCATCCTTTCACTAAATATATCCTTTTGATTCTTCCACAGGACCTTTAAAATACCTTGCACTGACAGTGGCTGGACTTGGAACTGCTGGTGTGAGGGCTGGTGACCACCACATCCTCCATGCTCTAGCAGCTGGACTCAATATTAAAGGTCTTTTCAAACAGTTGATTTTATGATTCTACTCATCTTTTTTGAGTAGCTGAAGATTTGCATAAGCACTTATGAAAAGAGAAATGAAATGAAGCATTTCAACTCATATTAGCTAGCATGTGAGAAAGCTACTGGTGATTTTTAATTGCAGATGAAGCAGGGCAAGTCACCCTGCATAGCTGCTTCTGTGCTCTATCTAAAACACACGCATGGCTTAGTGCTTTTGTATAGCCACTGGCTGGGGAGAGGTAGGGAAGACGGATACTGATCATTGCTCCCAAACTGTGCAGATATTCAGACTGCCTCGTCCGTCTTTTGCTTTAAGACAAAAGACCAAAACCAAACCCCAAGTGCATCACACCTTTTTTGCATGTCTACTGTTACTTTCATATTTGTTGTAGAAATCTACTTCTACAAATAGATATAACCAGCCTAATTTTAGAAGTCTTTTTGGGAAGATACTATGAATAATAGTTACTGCTTAGTAGTGCTTAGTGATATTAAACAATTTAGACAGCATGTAAAAAAAAAATGTAACAAAGCCTTACTGATACCCAGCCCTATTTGTTGACTTGACAATTCTTCTTCCTCCAAGCCAGATGTAGTAAGAGATTTTATTGCTTATGAATTTATTTAACAAATGCAGTCTTTACACAAGTCACTGGTTATTTCACTTCCACTTCTGACAGTGATCTTGTATTTGCATTATTTGTATCTGTTGCATGACAAATGCATTAATAAACTCAAAGAACATAATGAACTTACAGGATGAGAGTCTGCCAGATCACGGAAAGTTCCTTTTTTGCCCATTAGCTTCCTGTAGACAACCATGGGAAAATGTACGTCCAGTATACAGTTATTGTAAATAGCCAGCCCCAGTACTATGCCAATCAGTGTAAACTGACCCTCGGTTTCAAAAGAGGACGGATTAAACCAGAACAGTTTTGTAGATTCATCGTATGTGAACATCCCTGTAGGAAAAATGAAGTTGAACAATCATGGTTACATTTCAATAAAAATGACATGTAAAACACACCATTATAAACACATTTGCATTAGAATGCCTCTAAAACATGCTTAGCTTAACATTATAGTGAATTTAATGCGAAGAGAACCTGCTTACCTTAGGGTAATTTGAGCTGCTCAAAATACTGTTACTAACATTATCACTAGAAGTATGGAAGAAACCTGCGATACAACATCCTGCAATGCCCACCAAACCTGTTCATGCATGGCCTTTCATCGCCTGCCATTACTAAGTAGCCAGGAGCACATTGTCAACATACATTGTAACTTCGATAAATACAACAGGACAAGAAAATAACAGTCAAAACACATGTGGATGAAATAATCCTGAAGAACTCCAATTAGTACAGAGCGACAGCCTTTCCTTAAAGGCTTTTCCAGATCAGTTCCAGCAAAGGAACAGGACTAGATGCAGCCTTATGACTGAATTGGAAGCTATGAGAACAGGGCATGGATTAACCATCACATATAATCTTAGATCCCCACATTTGGGTTTTGTTTGTTTAAAGGTACTTGGCAAGGCCCACTGTTGCTGCAGCTATCACATACATCTTGAGGAGAAAATGTAACATGAGACTGTGTTTCACAGGAGGGGATGCAACTTTAACAGCTTATCACCGTTGAAAGCGAAGAGGTTTTGCTTTGCTCCCCTGTCTCCCTTCATCTGATTTTCTGCAAAGTCCACAAACTAAGTACCTTTACAGAAGTCTTCAAACGGCTGAACTGGCAAATGCCAGGAGCTACAGGGAGTGGATACGGCTGTATAGACAAGAGAAGGATAAAGCCTTACCCTTTTGGCTGTAGACTAGCTCTTGTTTATGAAACCCAAGTTTGTGCATAGGCTACACACTATTTAAATGAACCCTACAGTAAAATCCATTTCCTTACTAGATACTAAAAGAAGATAAATTCAAACCCCATAGACTTAAGGGGAGAGACTAGTATAGTCACAGTGACCTGTTACCTTTACAGCTTGAGATCATGATTTCCAGGCAGAGCTTAAGGAAAAGCGCTCAGGCTCCTTCCTCCCAACACAACAGAATTTAGATGCACATGGTCAACAACATGAACTACGTTTGCCACAAGGATTTATCTTGTCAGCTCTTAAAAGATATGCTTATTTACAGCCTACTGAGATGGTACAAACTGATTACAAAGCCACAAACAGAGTCACAGAATTACTCCCAAGACTAAAAATGTCACCTTCAGCTAAGAGATAAAGCCTGAATTCTCATTCAGTGTAAGAAAATGACCTGCAAACACATTCAGAGACTGGCTATTCCCCAAAATTGAAGATTATTTATCACAGTAAGATACTAGGACAGGGCCAGCTATTAGGGGAAGCACATAAATAACAAGACTAACATAAGGTAAGGTAGCTGGAAATCAGAAATGGATAAGCAACACAAACATATATAGGAGAAACATTAAAGAGAACCCTGCATTCCATTTTCTGAATTGACTGAAGTAACTTCTGGATTACTGGCAAAATAAAAGCAATTACTTGTACTTTCTGCAAGAAAATGGAAGAGTTGAACAGTCAAAATAAACAACTCCGGCAAATGTCTAATAATTAAGGACTAACACTTCACCCAGACCAACATCTGGAAACACTTTCATGTGAAATACAGCATTTTAGTCATTGACCAAAACTAAGACTATAGTACATTAACATTAAAATAAAACACCAGAATAAAATGGAAGCTTCAATAAGACAAAACCAATTGTATAGTGTTGGCTGGAATACTGTATAAAGTTATTCCTTCTTTCCTTTTACCATGACTGTTGGTCATAAATCTAATTTTGCTCAAGTAATTACCTCCTTTGAGTAAAACCTGACAGTAGTTTAGTATCAAAATACTTGAAATGTAATGGCAACAAAATTTACAGGTATAAGTGTGACTTCACACATACCTATCAGATGACATTTTAAATTCCATTTAAAGGATTTCCTTCATTTTCTCTGGTAAATGAAGTGTTTATGAATCAACAAAAACCCACTTGGCATATATGGTGTATAAACTGTTAAACTGCAGTGCATATTAATAGGTGCAAAAGTATGAATGCAAGCTACATTTTCTGGTTTTGCACATTTATGTCAAAAGCCAATAAATACCCTCCCCCCCCCCCCCCCCAAGTTGATATGAATACAAAAAGTGTACTTACTTTTTACTTTTTTGTATTTTGAATACAGAAGTAAAATACAAACCATGCATGCACATCTTATCTATTACCCATCTTTATACACAGGGAGCATATATACACTGCTGGATTTTAGCTGAATCAGACTTCAGTTACTAAATGGGATTATTTCAATATAGGCATCCCACGCAACTTCTGCTTAGCTAAACTCAGGTAAAAAGAACAAATGTATTTTGCATTGAAAATATACCTTTGTCAAAGTAGTGAGACTTCCTTATTTTGTTGTACTCCAATTTATTCCAAGTAACCTTGCTAATTCAGATTCCAATCCCTCCAAGTTAATGGTAGTTTTCAGAGTAAGACTTGCCTATGGATCTGTATTGCTTGTGATAAGAACTGGCTTGTGTATGGGTAATAGTAAGTGTCAAGGTTCAGATCCTGTTACTGATTCTGGGGACTTCCTCTTCAACCTGAACAAACTGAACTTTTATGTTTATATTCATCAATTTTCTAAACTACAAAACCAGCAGCTTTATTTTTTAAAACAGCTCAATGAACCCAAATTAACTAATGGCTACATGCTGTTGAGCTTTAATGGAAGCCTTAACAGGAACTGCAATATGTCATCATCGTTCAGAAACTATGAAATTAGTACAAGAACCTGCTAGGTCTCATTTCTGTTCTAACACAAAGTATTAGTAACACTTTAAGACATTTTAATCTTATCAGAGCAGCAGACCAGCTGCATATTAAAAGCAGTACATCTCTGCATGTATGAAGCAGAAGCATTAGACACTAGTGCAGGGAGCAAGGAGGGTAAAAGAGAAAAAAGGCAAGATGGAAATGCGACTGTTAAAACACAAATATAAAACTTTGGCTCTGATATATCAAAATCTCTTAGTTCTAAGTAACTACAATGAAATTTGACATTACTGCTACACTTTGGATTTGTACCCCTTTTAGATGAAATCATTAGAAGAACTGACGCTATCAGACGTTTTAAGCTGGAGGAAGGGGAGGAAATAAAAACTCACCATAAGTCCTACTCTGGTTTTATTGCAGAAGCTCTTCCTCTTTGGTTTGATTACTAATTCTAGAAGCTAATCACAAAGCAGAGTGAGGAGAAAGGTGAGAGAAAAAACACAGGAACCCTGCAAAGAAACCCTATACTACTGATTTATATCCAAACAGGCAGTGGTAGCTTTCACTAGCTATACACATAGCTTTTCATCATTCCTCCTTAGGAGGATGACTGATGATAAAGACACAGTGAGCCTCAAGGGGTCAAATGCTCTCATGATCACCAAGAAATCTGGAGAGCTTCAGAAAGAAGCAGCAGCAGATACAGAAAGGCACTGCATAAACACAGAACAGGCCAGGTTGGAAGGGACCTTGAAAGATCATCTGCTCCAACCTTTTGTGTGAAAAACTTGATAAATTAGTAAATTCTTATATCACATACCAATATCTGGATTGAAGATTTCTTCCACAACCAGTTGAAAAAATTCTTTGGAAACACCTCCTTCATCTACCCCTTGCTCTCCTTCAAATTCAACATACAATTGCTTCTTCAAGTCTGCAGGATTTTCCATGGCAATCATCTCTAGCTATTGAGTGAACAGACAGAAGTATTTCATTAGTAAATCTGTTTACCAGAAGAGTCAATTGAGTATCAAATAATGAAATCACAACTACCCTCCAAACTTAAGAAAGCAAGTATAAATCTCAACGGTAAAATACCAGAAACCAATAGTAACGCTAAATCACTCTAAGCCTGTATCAGAATTCGGGGATTAACACAGCAAGAAACTTACCACAGATCTGATCTGTTAGCCAATTAAGAGTGTTAGCCTTCTCCGTTTCTATTCTTCTAAGCACTTATTTTAAATAAGTTAGCATTGTGTTGCACAAAATTCACAGAAAACAGTATGAAAACAAGATTTATTACTGGGATAATCAAATTCATCTGACAAAGAAAAGAGACTGCAATCTGATCTACATGTTTGCAACAAATGGTTTTGTGAAGGGATTACACAAGATATGTTTTCAGAGTGAAAGACAGAAGACAAGCCTTTGACTAGTAATCGCATCTCACAAAGAAAGAGATGGAGAAAAAACAAAACACCCCAGAAATTAGAAGACACTAACATTACAGTCAAATTGGTCTCCTTTCCTCTTGACGCTAATGAAGAAGTCTCAGCATTTCTTGCTCTTATTTCTTCAGTGCCTTTAAACAGATCTACTGCACTGCTTCCATGAAAGTGAATATTCAGTTAAGGTCAAATACCAGTTATAACATCTCACAGGAAAGGAGTTCATGTCTACATAAAGGCCATTACATATCTTTCACTTGCTTACAACAAAAATGTATCCTTTCAGTTAATCAAAAGTTATGCAAGAATACCTTGCAGCTGATAATATGCTGCTTAAAAGCATAAATATATTGGTTAAATCTGTGCAACATGATTATATTAAACATGTCTTTGTGGCAAAGAAGAAAATGCAACAGCAGTAAAGCACAAATGGACCTGTGCATTCCTCTACCAAGACTGTATTACTGGTGAGATTTGCCTCTAAGCCGGACTACTGAAACCTGTACTTACCACCAGGTGTCCTTAACACACCGAAACACTTCTATTCCACTACTTACCTTATCCACACACACATGCCAACACATTCTTTACATCCCAGAGTTCTACTACACAATTGTAAAGGAGAACAGGAACAGAACAGAGAGCATAAAGATAGCAATAATCACACCATCAACTCAAAATGACACCACCAGTAAGACACATTTTCTCCTGGTAACTGCCAAATCAGCCAGCCCATGTTTCAAGCAGCACAGCAGGGGCAGATGTGAGACACTGCTAAAGGTAGTTAGCATTAGCAGGTCCAGAGACTTTGAAGCTCCTCATGCAAAAAGAGCATGTGGAGAAAATTGCACTACCTGGAACTGAAAACTAGTGTCAGAAGGAAACAGAGTGTAACTTCAGATCATATCAAGCTCAGGTAAAAAAACCCAAACAAACAAAAACCAAACCCAAACCAAACCAAACAACAGGCAAACCACGAAGACCCCAGTAAAGACAGCAAGTCAGTTCAGTTGATTGGGACGGATACCGTTACAAGATCATCTGGAAAACATAGTTATGTTCTACATAAACCATTTGGTATTCTATTGCATACTACTTGCAGTGAAGTGGCTTTGCCTTTAAGGAGACCAAATAATATTTATTCTTTGAAATTCACTGTAATTTTTATCAACAGTACTTCTGCAGCAAAACTCTGCTGTGGTGTGCGTCCCCTGCCCTGCTATTCTCATCACATGCTTTCCCTAAAATGTAATCTTTTATCTCGTAAAATCATGAAAACCTTAAAATTGTGCATCTTACAGATATGTAAAATCTTTTCTTCCTGAACAGGACAACAATGGAGCTTAAGGCATGTTTCAAATACAACTGAAGATTTTCAAAACGGAGAAGTAGCATTTATTTTAAGATCCTCAATACTTGTTATACATTCAAGCTGGACAGACAGTTCTCCTAGTTGAGTCTCTTCCACTTACAAGTGGCTCAGTTTTTTTTCTCCTCAGGGCTGTTGGCTGTGCAGTATATAGCATCAGCAGTTTTCTATTTTGCAATTTTCATGAATTTTGAGGAGTTCTGAAAAAGCAAGTATTGCCTTTGCATGTCTTTTGGGACAGCAACCCTTTGTCGTAGTGTAAGGCTCTTCTGAGTCACAGAAATACACTTCTACTAAGGAGAGTTCCCATATTTATAAATATGAAGCAATTAAAAATATTTCAAAAATATTTTTTTTTGGCTGAGAACTACACTGCAATGAGTGATGTAAAAGAAATGCAGCATTTAAAAAAAAGGGGAAGGAAGCACTTGTAGTTGAGCAACACTGGCTGGATATATTGGAACAGTGTGCACTGGATGTCTGTGAGGGAGTCAGATAAAAGATTACCAGAAAGCTAGCATTTTGAGTCAAAGCCTAATGTTCATTGAAGTAGATTCTATAACCAGGACAATGTTGCTAAGCTGCTCAACTGAAGGTTGTGGGTTTAGCTCCCCTTTGAACATCCTGTCTCAACACTGACATTCCACAAGGAAATTGGAACTGAGTGGAAAACACAGCATTAGTCATGATAGCAGAGAGGCACTAATTTTAGCAGAACTGCAGCACTGTTTCTATAGCAAGGACATATGAACTTCAGAAATACATGACACCAATATGACAACATTAAAAAGCCTGATGTAACACCAGAGTTTGGCTACCTTCTTAAAACTGATGATAGCTGAACTAATTTCTATTCAGCTAAAAACAATCAAAAATCCCTTCAAGTTCTAGTAATGTAACATAAAAGTTCTCTTTCAGGCAATGGCAGGAATACTTTCCTCACTAGAAGGCAGAAATGACATGAACACAACTAATTCAATTTTGAAAGTACCAGTGACATGTCATGACAAGTCCATCACTACATTTTTCTGAAATTTTTCTGAAAACCAGCAACTTCAAATGACTAAGCAGCATCCTTGCCAGCTGTACTTTATGGTTCATGTATACGCTTGAGTGGGGCTTGCATGTGTCAACATAGTCACACACATTCTGCATGCAACCAAGGTGTACTGGTGCTGAGATTTTCCACAGGACACACAAACATCAAATTAGTTCTAGAAGAACCAAAAAGGTCCTTAAGTACTTTGTTGCTAATACACTCTGAGAGAATCTGCCTACTGGTTCAGCTGTCACATAAGAGTTTGTGCTCATCAATATATTCAGCAGCCATTTACAAGCAAGAGGCCTGCTGCCTGCCAGCTATCTAAGTTCCATGTGAAATTTGTCAAACTGAATTTCTAATTTGTGAGCAAGTACCAGCCAGACTCTGATGAAGGAATCCACCACATTTTCACTTGCACAACTTGAGTGTTGTAGCTAACACCCATTAAATTACTGCTACCTGAGAATAAATCCACATACAAATAGCTGTTGAGTGATAAAAATGATGAAGAGGGGATTTAAGGATAAACTTCCTTTCAATACTACCACATCCACACAACATGATGCAGCAGAAGTACAGCTGACCTCAAACTTGTTAGATGCAAAAAGGCATATTAACTGCTTTCAAAAACTGCAAACTGAGCTACCAACTCCCAGATGTAAGGGCTCCTTAACAAATGTGGGGACTACTGCTTTACCAATTCCAAAATTCCTCACCCCAATGACTTTTCAGATTAACATAATAGAAGGAAAGCGTGTTTCATTAAGTCCATTTCAATGAAAAAAATGAAAAAGAAGTTTCTGATGCAAATTTCATACATGCAAAGAAACTGAGCAATGAATGTGCAAATAAAGTTTCTGCTTAGATGTCCATGTTTCAGAGTGAACTGTGATTCTCTTAATAAGCAACTCTTAACAAGTTATTGCATTTAAAATGTATTGCTTCAAATTCGCAAGAAAAAATCCTGCAGTAATAATAATAATAAACATCACTTACCAGTGCTCATATTTGTTTTAATGAAGTCCAAACAGTGAGATGTACATACTGAATTCTAGAAGTTTAAATATTAAATGTTGATAAGAGAAACCCAGCTTGGTGATCACTCAATTATCTTGATCAATTAGAAGAGAAAGACTGGTATAGTCCATTTGCAAGAAGAAATTATAAACGCTGATGTATTTGCTTGAAAAATATCCAGCATCAATAAGGAAAATATGAATAAGAATCTCAGCCTCATTTTAATAAATACTTATGAAAATGCTTTTATTGGGAAGTTCTCAGAGTTATTCCATATACAGTTAAAATGGCCTGCACTGACTGTTCTGTAAAGACACAAGTCTAGTGACCCATGTATGTAATTACTTTGAAGTCTTTAAGTATTCAAACTCCAGAAATAAAAAAAAACGCAATTCAAGGGTAAAAATATTTGTAATCATAATTACTTACCTGTAATTTAAGCACCTTTGGAAATGCTTTGCCACTAGACAGATCTAAGAATATGCTTTTACTGCTTAAGAATATTATCTTGGCAATATCTTTCTGACAGTTTTCAGTGAGACCCTTCTGAAGTTCAGTAGTGCACCCAAAACCACAACCATTACTGATACAAACTCATACAGTGTAGCTTTCACTTGGGTTTTATGCTGTCAGTGCATGGTAACTATCTTTGACTAGAATCATAGACAGAACAAGTAACTTTAAGGATTAGTACTCAAGACTGAAGACTTATTTCAGACCAATTAGGAAGTGGAAGTGAAGTTTAAAAATTACTAAAATCACTTCTCAATCTGCTACAGGAAGTACCTGTAACAACAGCATGCAATTCTCAGATCAGGCAGTCACAGAAGAAGCTGCGAGACAACAGCATGGAACAGCAGTTTCCTTACAACACTCTTCCAGCAGATTTGCAGCTTAGAGACTTTCTGAGGTTTGTGTGTTGGTCACAGCAAAATACCTGTAATGCCCAATACCTGTAATGCCCTGTCTGGGCAAAGACATCCACAATTTTAAGGTAGTCAGGTAAAGCTGCTTGTGTTAAACCTGCTTCTGGATAATATGAGCAGGTGCTATGAGTTAAGAAAACCAGTATTCCTCATTCCATTTCTTCATGCCGTCTTTTATGTACTCTGTCATCTTTTTTACCACTAAGAGGACTTACAATCTCTCCAAAGAGACTCTAGACTCTCCTAATGCATTTCTATTGCATTGTTTTTGATATTACAATGAGAAAAAACAAATGAGAGAGAGACAGACATAGGCACATTGTAGTAGACAGAGACAATGTTTACTACATGTTCCATTTGGTCTTTTCTTAACTCCTGCCACTTTTTCAGGAATATCCAAAATCTCCTTGTGAGCACTGATACTTCATATCATCAGTTAAAATGTAACAATAGCTAAAAGGTGACTCTGCAGACCCTTTACATATAATTTTTTCAACACTGTTTTTTCTTAAGGCCACATCATCTTACAACGGTTACCTTGTTGCACCTCTTTGAAACAGCACATACTCTCTGGCCAGAACGGCGAGCCTTCACTCTTCTCCATTTTAGTGAATATAATCTATTTCCTTCAAGAAATTCCTGGGCTGCACAGTTCAGCTCAGATTACTTGAATTTAGAACAATTTTATCTTTTTCTTTTATTTTCTGTTCCAGAATAAACAGTTTTAAAATCTTACTCTTCTTGTGGCTTTGACAGAGTCAGATCACCATAATTTAGCATGTTCTGACAGCTTAAATTAACAGCCATAAGAGGATCCATGGCAACTGCCCAAGCATGTATTCGCAGACTGCAAGGACACCACAAATTAGTATGTTTGAGCTTGATCTGATTTAAATTACCTAAATTTTCAACAGACCAAGAGCGTGCGCAGCAGTAACTGCTGTGACCCCATTGTGATACAGCAGCTGCACTAACTTGATGTTGCCCATGTGCCTTCTAAACAACAATAAACATATTTTTACTGTTCTCAAAGATTTCAACTTCCTTCCACAACAAGCAGTATGTGTCCTTTTCTCATATTTACAGATTTTCTTTTCCATCATGAGCATGAAGAGGAAGGTCTGCTTCCTCTCTGCTAGAACAGACATCAAAACAAATATCTCCCCAAAACTAGCTCTTATCCTTTTTTAGCCCATCTTCTCCTAAAGGGATAATACTGTCCCTCCCTTTTTTCCCCAGTATTTATGTATCAGAAAGCTGAACAGTCAAAGAAGTAGGCTCCATTACTTTAATGTGCCAAAACTCAACAGGATACACCTGTACCATGGGCCCTGATGGGATGCACCCACAAGTACTGAGGGAGCTGGTAGATGTTATTGCTATGCCACTCTCCATCATCTTTGAAACAGCATGGAGAACAGGAGAGGTGCCCGAGGACTGGGGAGAAGATAACAACACCCCAGTCTTCAAAAAATGCAAGAAGTAGAACCCAGGAACCAACTGGCCAATCAGTCTCACCTCCATCTCTGGAAAGGTCATGGAATAGCTCATCCTGGATGTCATCTCCAAGCATGCGGTGGACAAGAAGGTTTATTAGGAGTAGTCTGTGTGGGTTCACCAAGGGGAAATTGTGCTTGACCAATTCGATAGCCTTTTACGATGGAATGACTGGCTGGGTAGATGAGGGGAAAGCAGTGGATGTTGTCTACCTTGACTAGGATTTTGACACTATCGCCTGTAATATCCTCATAGGTAAGCTCAGGAAGCATGTGCGAGATGAGTGGACAGCGAGGTGGACTGAGAATGGGCTGAATGGCAGTGCTCAAAGGGTTATCATCAGTGGTGGAGCCTCGTCAGAGGACTGTAGCTTGTGGTGATCCCCAGGGGTCAGTACTGGGTCTAGTCTTGTTCAATTTACTCATCACTGGATGAAGGGACAGTATACCCTCAACAAGTCTGCTGATAATACAAAACTGGGAGGGGTGGCAATTCCCAGGAAATAGCTAGCTCATCTGGAAATTCATAGGTACACAGAAAAATCAAGGTGGGAGCTCATTTAGGGCTCTCACAATTGACCTTCAGCAGCAGCTAAAATCATCAAATTTAACTAAAAGTAACAGCTGAGCTGAGAGGCAAAACCAGGTACTTTTCCAGAGTCTCTCTAAATACCTGTCTGGCTCTTCAGCAAGCTTTAAAGCTATGTTTGAATTTACAATTTTGCAAACAGTGTTGTGCTTTAATAACAGAACATAGAAAAATGAGCTTCTGAAAAATAACAGCTTTAAGTGAAAAACTAGAAGTAGGAAAAGTCCTAAAATTAAAGGACATATTTACAGGAAGATTTTCTCTGAAGTATTCTTTATAGTTTGTATCCTGTATAAGTCCTGTATAGTTTGTATCCTGTATAAGTCCCATCTTCCAAAAATGTGTGAACTTTAGGAAGCTTTACTTTAGGAAGCCAGCATATTCAGAAACAAGCTGCCCTCACAGCTCTCAGGTACCAACAGGTCTGTCTTCTCCTTCCTTGGTCATACCAGTATTTGCACCAAATTGCAACAATTCTTAAGGAAATGAGAAGTTCTACTTATGCAGGCACTCCACACTTTACATCTTGAAATTCAGAAGTCCACAACAAGAGTACACAACTGAAAAGTTTTAATTCCAATTTCCATTTGAAAAATTCTGCTATCACAAGATGATCCGACACATTCCAGAGGACAAAGGAAAAGTACCGAAACAGAAGAGTAAGCTGTAACTGCAGAATCTGTTAATGGGGAGTAAGAGCTATTTGACACTTTAAAACACTTAAGTCTGCAACCACTCAGAGTGAAAGCAGTTCTGCCTAACATACAAATCTTCAGCAGCACGTGTAAAATTCAAATTTAATATGGTAAAACTATTTGAGTTTCTTCTAGAGGAAATCTAGTACATAAACCACTGCACTCACACACAGTCCTTTTCAGTAAGTCAAAGCCCACATAGTTTGCAATAGTCAGAACCAACAAACTTAAGTTCCATGTTGCTGCATGACTTACCCGGACAAGCGCATCATCTATGATGTGATCACGTCTCACTTTAAGTCGCAAATATGGGTTGAGCTGCTGTCCTTGAACTAAGCTGTAGAGCACAGTTATGCGTCTTTCACTGTACATCCGGATTCTGTTGTCATAATACAATCCCAGGTTCTTGGTAACAGCATTCAATATGAAGGGGCAGGTCATAAAAGAGAATTTATTTTCTGTTTCTACTTTGAAGAAAGTGTAGTCTTTGTCCATTTCTAGAACATCATTCAGTGGTTCATTAATAAATTCTTCAAATGGGATAAGTGGTTTTCTGCAATCTATAGTTTTAACACCAAGTTCAGTTTCCAGTGGGTCCACTCGAGGACCTTTTTTATTTCTTCTTTCCTCACCCAAAAGCTCTTGAAGTGTTAGTTCACTAGATTCTGGGATGGGTTCTTCATCTTCCTCTTCATTATGATCTGTATCCACATCCCCTCCTACTACATTTGCATAGTAAACCATTTTCAAGCACTTTGAAGCAGCAACAACAGCATCATCATCATTCACTAGGTTACGACTACTGAACTCATTGCTTATGACTTTGTAAGTAATAAGTTGCTGAAATGTTTCCATCATTCTCCGAATTTGGTCTGCTCTGTACTTAGACCACAATCTGACCAGTTTTGCTTGAGCTGCAAGGGGCAGTTTGCTCATTGCTTTGCAAAACAACGGTAGAGCCATTTCCAGATATTCTGGGCTATGAAGATTGCCATTCTCCATAACGATAATAAACAAATTCAGATAGTTAGGATCCCGAGAGTACACATTATGGTAAGTCAAGTCACATTCCACATTAGGTGACAAGTACACAAGTGCATTTAAAAAGGCAGTTTCTATTTTTTCATTAGACAGTAATCTATCATAAACCCGTCTGACTGCTTCAATATCTACAGACACTTCATCTGGGCCTAGTTTTTGGAGGTTATTATCTCCCTGTGTGTTATCACCTATTCTTGATGACGAAGATGATGATGCACCTGAATCTTCTTCCATAGCAGCAGCCGAACAGGCAGCTTTTTCCTTTTCGTCTTCATCTTTGTCTTCATCCTTTCCTTGAAGAGACTTGAGCTCCTCCTTGGTGTGCTGCTTGGCTTTTCGGAAACTCTGTACCAATGCTTCAGCACTAGAAAATACTCTCCCAATCACTCGGATTAAAGGGGAATAATCCTCTTTCTCCCGACATAGTTCAAGAATTTCATATATCTTGTCTTCTGTTAGAAAAGTCACATCTATGAAAAGATAAAGTATTAATTTTGTTAAGATAAAATACTTCTGATTTGCTCTACTCAATGTGTATCATCATTAACACCAGAAAAAAAAAACAAAACAAAACAGTGTTAGTGTTGGATAAATTTAAGGCAGGTACTGCATAATTTCATTAGCATGAAGAATCGTGATTTCATTCACTATGATTGTGTAAAATATCTTATTTATGGATGTCGATCCCTGAAGGAGAACATGCTCAACAGTAAAACTGTTTTGCAGCCAATTAGCTGCATTTGGTAGTTAACAATATTGTATCATCTAAACAAGAGCAACTAAATCAATCACTAAGACGTTTAATCTTTGAAAGACTTACTGAATATGACTCTGTGACAACACAGTCTTCTGGTAAATCTGCACAGTTAATGTGTAAGTCATTAAACTATATCCCAACTAAACTGTTTCAACATCTTTTTTCAGACACAGCAGATATGTATGGACTTCACACATTACTTCTCCCTTACAAGTAGACTTTAAAAAAAATCCAATAATTAGTTTTGCTAAATATTAATGGGAATATGAGATCTTACTTTTATTTTTAATGCTTTCTGCAACTGTTTGTATTCTAAACCGATGCCTGAAAATCCTCTCAAAAACCACAATACATGCTCAGAAATTTATGCTGCCTTCTAAATTACACAGTTGAGTATGTGGGTTATTTCTTTGTACATTAGGCCTCAGTGAGACAAACATCTTGAGTATACTCATCAACATGCTATTCAGATGAACAAGCTGGTTTACATGCATCACCTGCATGCAATCCAAATACCTGCCTGTTGCCACCTCTCCCCCAAACCCCTGATATTAAGTCCTTTTTTTTAAATATGAAATCTTTCTTCTCTTTTCTAAAGAAAAAAGATTTTTATCTTTTCTATGCTGCTTCTCAAACAGAAGCCACAGATTCTTTCACATCAGGTGATGATTTAGAGTAGGATTACCACATGATCAGACCCTGAAAAGATGTTCTAGTTTAAGCAGATTCTTCTGAACTGACACATAATTTAGAATTAAAACAGAATCTGTTTAATAGCATCTCTGGAGATCTAAAAAATGCTCATCACAGCACTGTATTCACCAACCATGCTAGATCAACTATCTGTGCAGAAAGAAGGAAGCGTATAATTTTAATAAAGACAGTTCTATGTTTAAAGTATTTTGAAATGTGACTGCCTACACTAATATTCATTCCAAGCAGTCATTAAATTAAAAATACAAACTAAATGATGCCAGACAGACAACCTATTGATTTCTGGATTCCTAAGCCATTGTTAGAGCACATACAACACAGGAAATACTAAGCTTATGTCACAGTACTGAAATTGACTTCCAACCAATTCAAAGACAGTGAAAAAGCTTCAAAACTAAAATCTTCCCTGTTAAACCAACAAGAGCATTGAAAATATTATGAAAGGATTCAACCTTAGCACAACATCTCCTATTTGTACCTGCTGTGGTGAATGTTCCAGAAGCAAACTTGACTAAAAGATATTGTAACTGCTGATACATACGCTGTTTCATGCCATAGCTCTTCAAAATGAGGACCACAGCCTCAAGTTCACCAACACCGGATTGCATAGGTTATTCACAAAACGAAAATTATCAGCAAAAGTTGACTATTTAACAGTATAATACTCTTCAGATTTCTGTACTTACAACAGGAATTCCCTAGTCATTCTTTTAAAGGTTTCAGTATTTAGTATTAAAGAATCTAGTCATGTGCCATTTCCAGATAAAATATTTAGTATTATCATTAGCAGTTCCATAACAGTTCTAAATCATATCCTTTGACCATCCTCTGAGCTATCAGAAGAGTCTGCCCCATTTTTACTTTCCAGTAGTGATAAAAGAACAAATGTAGTGTAGTACAGTACAGTAGCGAGAGAAGAACAAATGTATAGTGAAGTTTTCTTCTAACTCAAGTCAACTTTAGTCAACTTGTGTGTGGATATGTGAGTTTTCACATGCCTTCTCTTCTCACCCTTCCTATTACAACTACATGATCCAGCAAAGTAAGTGTATCTCTTTTCAGACCTCTGTCTCAGTAATACTCCACGACAAATCTGTACATGGAGTCATGCTTTAGCCATGATCCTTGACTGTGAGAAAGACTGCATGTGGTATGCATACTGCCAATAACACTCCCCAGTTAACAAATTTATTAATTATCTTTTCATTATCCCTTATGGAAGCTTTGTTATGATTGTGTGCTCACTGCCTGTCCACTGATGTTCTCTGCTTCCAGTTCCATGTTTTGGTCAAACATTAGTTTCCACAAGTTAAAAATAGCTTCCCAGGTAATAATGACACAGATTTTGAAATGGCACTCTCTCTCTATGACATTTGTTACCCATGCTTTTTTATAGATTTGTAATTTTACCATTCCCTTCCTCTTTTTGGACAGCCATCTAAGATATTACTGACGTACTGACAATAGCCTACAGGCACATTTTTCTCCAAAGGTAATAGTCTTAGGGTTTAGCACTACAGAAAAGTAGTTTAAATTATTGTTTCTGCAGGTTATTTCATTTTATTTAGAACTTTCAATCCTATGTCAAGCATAAAAGCAAGCTGCATATCTTCTTTCTTGGCTTAACTGCAGTTTTCCCAGTAACTGTTACTGCAGATGGATTTAAAAAAACCCCGAACAATTCAGAGTGCTGAATTCCTTAGACAACATCCAATTCCAAAGGTGATTAAGAGACTCCAATGGACTTTAAGAATGCATTAATGATCTCTGTCCATACAGCTACAAAGACAGGTCAATAATTGAGATGCTGCAACAGATCGAGTCACTGCTTTAGACAACAGACTGACTCTGCAGATGGTTTGAGAGGACTTTTAGACATCTGTCTTGGGGAGAGAGGACAGTATGGTCAGAACGAAGGAGGAAAGCTCTGTCCATACACGCCTCCATTAAAAATACACAAAATAAGAGACAAATCACAAAACAGACCTAATGTTCCTCTTGCCCATCTCACAGTACTCTGGCTTCCCTTTTCCCTACCTACTGTTCGCCTCTCTGCTTACTCAGATCATAAATAATTTCAGGACAAATTTATATGCGCATCAGATAAAGAACAAACAGATACAGGTAGGTATTGATTGGAGCATCTTATAACACAGTACTATGTTTATTGCTGATTCTGTAGGGCTTTTTAATTCTTTGCTGTAAACAGTTTCACCTTCTTTAGAGAAAATGAATGAATCTGAACTTCTGTGTTTATACCACTTACAGCAATGATACTTAAAGGTCTGCTCAAAGGTTAATTGCTTTAATTTCATTTAGCTTCTGCTTGCACCACAGGTTTTGGCAACACTAATATGTATTTACTATCCTACAGAGTTTAAAAAGCTAACTAGAAGTTACAAAAGACATACTGAACAGTTTTTATTTTCGTACATTGGCTTAGAAATCACTTTGCTTAATTTTTAGCTTGGTCGAAGTACTGCCTATCATCCACTGCATAATTTTTTCTTCATCTGTTTCTTAACAGAAGTGGAACTAGTTAAAGCATAACCTTTATAACTCATTAACTACAGAAGAGTTATGAAACTAAAGCAGACATACAAAGCATTTTAAAAAAACAATCTCTCCATATTTGCAAATCCAGTTATGTCAGAAAGCAACAAATGCACATGGATTTTAACAGGGACATGGTAAAGATACAGATTTAGAATCAGCATTCAGCATTAATCCAGCCATTTTTCAGATTCCACAGTAAAATACCTGATTGCCCAATATTGTATTTTAAAGTCAGCAGAAACCTCCCGCATTCAGCAGAACACCACCACAGTGAATTCCATAATTATGCATATGAAACATATTTTATTGAAAAAAACTAAAGTAACTTCTTACCTTTAAAGTCATCTCTCGGGCCTTGCATTTCCTTCTTGTTCATTTTTCTGTCAGTGCAGGAATTGTTATGGGCACCTTTGGAATTGTTTTCTAGGTAAGCTGAGCTCGTTCCTTTCTTGGAGGGATGAGGATCACAGAGTTTTGCATTAATCTTATAAAGCTCGAGGGCCTTAATGGCTGCTGCATTGTTATCCATACGGAGAAAAGTTGGACAGGAAGCACAAAATTCATTCGTGCAGGCTTCATTTCCACAGCCCTCAGTTAACTGGTGGTAGTAGCGCTCTATTAGATGCTTTGCAGCTGCTCGCTTCCTGTAGCAAACATTCAAACAGTAAGTACAAGGATTAGTAGAGCTTTCACATACAAAGCTCATTCAAATGCATCAGCAAGGCAGAGATTAGTCAGGCACCGAAACACAAGATTTCTGTGTCAGAAAGGACACATCAGGAGCGTTTTTTAAACGCAGGATTCTCATCTTGACAAATGCAAGTATATTTAACACAATTTAATTTGTGGGTCCTATGTAAAAGTGGAAGGTAAATCCTATTTATGCAGTTTTCAGCTTTACATTTTAGCGCTACAGTGGACACAATCTTGTTCAGTTCTGAACAATCTCAATTATCACTAGAAGAGAGACCAATTCAGATGCAAAGCAAGGCTTCAAATGAAATAACTGGATCTCACACAGGTGATTAAGTCTGATGTATAGTACTGAGGTATGATTGCCACTGACAGACAGGGGGAAGAGATATAAAATACAAACAATTCAGACATTTATTTAGTAACACTATCAATACTACACCAATACCATCTAAAGCCTTTAAAAATCTAAACCATTTTTTAAAGAAGATTACAGATAACTTAAGGTTTCAGATATTTAGTCTGCTTAAATCTGTAGGAAAAATATTGCTTGGTTAATTAAACTGATGACAAAACCACAACCACAGATGAGCTCAAGGTTGAATATAATTCCCCTTAGCTTAATAAGGTATATGGTTCTCAAAAAAGCTATTCACCAAATCCTCTCCTTTCTCCTGCAATTATACATGGCAAGTATGTATGCTGAAGAATTACGAGTGCATTACTATACAAATCAATGTGCTCAGTGCTATATATACACACAAGAAAATTTAACTGGCCAATTATTAAGGTCACAGACTTATGCAGAAACATGCAAATAGTAAAGAAATCACTGGAAAGCTGTAGGTAACTGGGACAGAAGCAGCTGCACGCCGCACCTAGAGTGATGTATTTGACCATGTTTTGGCAAGAAATGAAGTTTTGGGGGTTTAAGAAAACAAGTTATTAATGAAAAATACCAGATATGAAACGTTTCAAACATTTTGATTAGATGAAACATGGAAGCTTTTTACCTAATTTTAGTGATACAGTACTATAAAGATTAGAACTTGTGAAGCAAGATTTTAATCAGAAATTGTGTTAAAGTTGCCTCTTCCAATGTTGACGCATGCATAGATTCTGCACAGAACAAGTATGAGAGAACTAAAGTGCTAGACTGACTGGTACTACTCAGTACTCTAGGTCTTAATACTGTTCGGTTAAGTATCACGAGTTTCAATGTAGCCGCTTTAGAAGGGAAAATGTCCTCAAGTTCTGAAAGTAACTATCAAGCCATGTATTATTCAGCAATAACACCTTTACTCCTTCCTTTTCACCCTTCAAGATCTCATGAGCCTAGGGAAGAAAATACTTCTTACAAAGAATACCATTACCTTAATGTCTACTTGACCTTCCAAATGTGCCAGTGAATTCCATGACCAAAAAAAAAAAAAAAAAAAAAAAAAAATTGAGAAGCTTCCCTGGCACTTTGAGAGGGAGGAGAAAGATCATAAAAAAAATATAATTAAAAAATGCAGCACGAGTAATACCATCAAAACCACCATTGTATAAACAAGGAATAGCGGCATTCTAATCGAAGGAAAGAGTTCTAGCCTCTCCCATTTTTATATGTAGACTTAAAACTTGTGTTTCTCCATGTACTCATAAAAATGCAAGGTTTTTTAAATCTTGTCTTTCATACTTCAGCCTTCAGGACAGAGGCTTTAAAAAAAAAACACACCAAAAAAAAAAGCATTTTAATACAGCTTAGACCAGTACATGATTTCACAAACATCTATTTCTGAAGACAAGATTCCATGCTTTGATCATGCTTGTCTTTCAGTCATTCAGACCTTCAGATTTACAGTGTGAAATATTGTCATTTGTAAGCAAGTAATTATATCATGTGAAAGCCTTTCTTTGTTAGTACTGAATCTTTACACTTGAGCTATGGCCACCTGTCTCTCCAAAATGCTCCTTATTTACTCCTCTTTCAGTCTCTCCTATGCATACAAAATGGTCATTCTTTCATATACACATTATCATTTTATCCTTCCATCTTACTCCTCCACTGCAGTCTATACATAGATCACAAGTTTTCTGCCATAATCTTCTGACCTATGTAATACACCCACAAACACTACATGGATTATTTCTCAGAGCTGTTCTAAGTGTGTGTATTTCTAACGTGTTGTATATATCTCAGTGTGTGCATGTATAAAAAGGGGTATGTGTATTTAAGAACCTAAAGCAGCTGGCGTTGTTATTCAGATCAAATGTATCATGAAAAGCTGACCAATTCCTTAAGAAGGGAGAACTTATGTTTTCAAATTGGAGAAATTGTTAACTCTTGGACAGGCGCGCACACCTTTCTAGCTTGCTTATCCAGTCTGAATAAAGTTATTTTAATGTATAAACACTGATATATTAACAACACATTTTAACATATTAAACAACATTTCAGTGACATCCAGAGATGCCAGGAGACAAAGCTAAGCTTTGACTTGTCTCTAACAGTTAACTTCTGAAGGGCTCAGGATATTTTGCTTCCAATATTTAACTACCAACTACTTCTCAAACTGTGCCATGCCTACAACAATGCTGTTTGTACAAACATTTTCATTTAGACTTGTAGCTGCAGACTCATTGCCTCAAGTTCTGTGAAATTCTATCAGAGACAGAAGTCTGACTGAAAGCTAATTTTTTCTTTTCTTTTTCCTTTTTCTTTTTTTTAATCAGCTACAGAAGCAAACAGCACAACAGTACAAGAACACAACAATATTAGGATTTCTTCCCACCTCTTCCCACTGGGCTGTTCCACAGACTTTTGACATGGCCTCAGATAAATTATTTAAGTAAATAAAAAAGGTCATACTCAAAGCAAGGCTACAAACGTCAAAAGGTAGAAGGGAATTTACTGAGCCTTCCACAAGAGCTACCCTTACTGAGCTCCATCCATGAAAGCACTTACAGAGAACACAGTTCTGAGCAAGCCAGTGTGTGATCTACAGAACAGTAAGTTACTCCATACAACATTCCCATTGGTACTTGATGAATTATTGTCAATGTCCAGCGCCACATTTCCTATATTACTGAGAATAAAAAAAAGAAAAAAGAAAAAAGTAGCATACCTTCCCTGCTCTCCAGAGGTGAAAACTTGATCTATTTCTACATTCCCTTGCTCATTTAGGATGCAGAAAACTCAAGTTCTTACCCTGAGACATTAAAACTGGGTCACTAAGCAAGGTAACATAAAACCTATCTCTATTCTTAGCCCACACTACACAGTGAAGACTGCAGCTCCCTTTAAGATCCTATACAATGATCTAGTGAAGATTAACTGGTCCCTTATAAATTTGATTACCAGTTTATTGTATGTTAGCACACAGACACCTCCTAGTGTTCTGAGGCTTCAATGACTGACTTTCATATATGTTTGCAAAGACTCACAGTGCTGTTGCACATCCAAGTATGAAACTGCACCAGTGTGGTTGCAGTTGTAAACATTTCACAGGCATACCCTCATGGCCTAAAGATAACTTCTCACACACTGAGCCTTGTATAACCTCCACAAAGACACACTACTGCAACGGAGAGGCAGCTAAAATAGACATCATCTTCCTTCCCAAAGTCCAACAATTTCATAAGCATAATTTTTCCATTTAAAAATACATGAATATTCACTGACTTACTTTTGTAGTACTTCAGGGGAAAAAAAAGCCTTTATACTTTTTAATTGTTCTTTAACTAATAAAAAGCCAGGTGATAAATACTTTGCATCTGTAATTTAAATGCTGCTGAAACTGTGGAGTATCAAAAGAAATGTGCACCACAGAGCCTCTGCCTTTCAAAATACTTAGGCAAAGGTGGGCTACATTTTGGGTTGTAAAGTAATTTCCAAATGTCTAAAACCTATGAGAAACGAGATGGAGTGCACTGGTTCAAAAGTTCCTATGTAATAGCATCTAATTTTCATTTCTCAAATCAAATATAGACAAGTACTACAAAAAGGAAACTACAAAAAGGAAACTTTTGTGACAGAAAGAAAAAAAGGGAGATTTAAACATTTAAGGAATTCTAGAAAAAATGTGAAGCATAATTCTTTAGAGTTCATCTACAAAACAAAGATTTTTCCATCCAAGTTTCAAAACTTGCCTGAAATAAAAAATAAATGCATAATTTTATCTTTAAGTTTACCTAAATTTGAAACCTTCATACATATTTCTTACTTTTTTAGAAATATCTGTGTAAAATTACATATTTCTGATTGGTTTTTGCTTGGGACATGACTTTTATCTTATTTCTACAAAGAAGTTTGACATCACTCTAAGATGTGGGAAAAAAACCAAACCAAACCAAAAAACCCTAAAAAAGACCCCCAAACAAATAAACAAAAAAAAAAAAACAACAAAAAATACCCCAAAAAACATAAACCAAAACCAAACCAAAAAAACCAAACAAAAACATTCATGTATATGGAAACAAAAGAAATTTAAGTTTGTCTTCTGGGTAGGAAAACTCCAGGGAACAGGTTTTTTAGTACTAATAGTAAACCAACTTTCAGTATATTCCTTAACACAGAGGAGCATAAAAGACACCTGCAACAATTATATACTCAGGATATAAGATGACCAGCAAACCGAAAGCTGTTAAAAAAGTGTAGGTTATGGATGAACATCTGTCAAATACTGCTTTCTAAGAGTTCCAGTTTCAAACCTTGCATGTTGGTTTCCTGCTTCTGTTTAGTTAAGAACAGCAATGTTAGAAAAGACAATCTTCCCGTAAAAGCACTGCCCACACAGACCCTTTGGAGTTGCCTCCACACTGAACTGCCAAACACTCCATCCAGAGCTGGAGCTGAGTCCTCTGTTCCAGCAGTGCTGTAACATGCTTTGCCTGCCTTAGCTACTGGCACTTCAGCAAATGCACATAGGGCATAGAGCACACATTTTCCAAACCTCATTCTCTCCAG